GGAATATTTTATACTGATTACAGAAATTAAAAGCTGCAGAAAAACTACAAGGGCTGATGTATTATTTTTGTGCTAAATTTATTTGGACTGCATTTGTGTTTAAAAAATAGCCATGACGTTCCTGTTCCGAGCTGGTGGAGGAAGACCTCAGGTGCCCTTCCGTGCATTATTTCATGCACGAACGGGTACCTGAGTAGAACCACCGACGTTCCGTAAGCTAGCTGGATAGCTTCCTCACGTAAAAGAATCCAAAGTCCCTGTCGGGATTCGAACCCACAGCGGTGAGGAGGAGTATATGTCAAATTGCTTATTATTGTTAAACAATCAAAATTGAAATGGAAAATCATAACCCGTTCCAGTGTAATTATATATTTATGGCACTTTTATAACATTGATCCTTATTCCCTTTGCGTTGAGGATTCAATTCAACTCAAACTGATACTAGACCGGCGATGGAACATTCTAATTCCCTTATACCGGTATACGTACTGAATTAAACTAAGTTCACAATTTTCTTTTTTGTAGTAAATAAAACAAAGTTTATTTATTACTATTTTTACATTTCTTTAAATGTTGCTTTACAAATTCATGCTTTAACTGAAACCTATATTCATTTTATTTTATAAAAATGAAATTAATTTGTTCGCAGAACATTTTCTAAATTCGTTAAATAATTCGTTAAACATACGTGTATGTCACGATGAAATACATTTCTGAAAATAAAACTACAATCTGTTAATATCGGCAATCTAAATATACGAGTATACATGTATGTTTTAACTAGGTAAATTGGTATCTCTTTTACTACGTGATCAACAGTTTTCAAACCGATTTCCTGTTTTCACGCAATCATAATCACGTTTTTTTTTATATATACATTGGACAAACACTTATTATGAGTTTATTTCCTCTGAAAAGAAATCTAAAATCTTTTTTAATATTGGCATTTATCCTACTACTGTTTTATATTATCTAACTGGATAAATCGTTGTCCGGGATATCTATCCTTATCCAGTCATTATGTCATATGATGAGTCAACATGGTTAGCAGCAAAAAAAAAAACTACATAAATGAAACGCTGTTTTATGGGGGAAATAGTAAGAATGATAACCATTTACAATTATCTAAACACATGGTAAGCAAGCAGGAATAAATATACATGGTTGATGTCTGGATCAAGTTCGTGCGAAAAGAGGATTCGGCGGCTCTCTATTTAAAAGCTCGCCAAATACAATAAACTTTCTCTTTTATCTAGAAAGTTTATTTGTAAATTTTTTTTATTCTCATATTGCATAGTTTGGTATCAGTACTTTTATCATATGAAACATAGATCTACAAATTGTTTTACATCTATATTTTTAAGAATAAGTAGTTTCTAAACAATTTGTATCACATTTACCTCGATAGTTATACGCTAAAAGAGAAAATCTCGGTTCTTCTAGGCTAATAAAATGTAAGCAAGCTGGAACGTCGCGATATGACCTATACTGTGTCGATGTGACGTAAAGCCCAAAACAAACAAAAAAAAAATAACATATACTGTGTAATATCTTTGGGGGAGGTATAGTTCATAAATTTATGAAACCTGTATGAATATATATTATAAAGTTAAACTTTTTCACTTTGATTTGTAGAACTTGTGAAACAAATTGATGATTTTAAGATTATATGTTTTCTACGCTTATTTTGTTTTCTTGAAAACAAAAATGCCCCTACCTCAAGAGCAAAATAACTATGATGGACTGACAACTTTCGACAAACACTTAAAACAGCCGAGGCCGCATGTTCTTCCCACTCTTCAACTTTTATCTTTGCCTTTCTGTCTCGTTCATCCACATTGCACATTACCTCCATATATGCTACTTCATTACTAGGCCAACGAACTTTTCCATGATGGGATTCTACACTTTTTTCTAACTCTTTTCTGTATTTATTGGAGTTTTGTAGATACCTAAATAAACGGGATGTTAAACTAGTAACAGTAGCAATATTGTGACATTATGTGATGTGGTTGTGCGATTGTGGTAGTTTCTGTCATGTAAGTACTAGTCAGATCTTATGGTTATTATAATACAAACATCCTCATTGAGTCCTAGACATGACAGCCACCAAAATTCTTCAGGTTTTCTAATTGACTTAAAGATCCCGTATGGTGTAATTAATGTTTTTACCACACTTATGTGAGATATTATATATGTAACTATTTAATTATACTTCTAAAACAATTTTCAAACATCAAAGAATATGTAAAAGATGTACAGCAAATATTTGTCCACATTTTATGTAATCTTTAAAATATATGCATTCATTTCTTTTCTTTTCATTTGAACTTACAATATTGACTAATCACCTGTATTTTTGATGGGGGGCTTTTGTCCTAGGTGTATATTTCATGGGGGGGGGCTTTTGTCCACCTTGTCATTTTTAGAGGGGGGGGGGCTTTCGTCCGGCGGGGGGGGGGGCTTTTGTCCTACACTCTTATACTTATGATATAAAACCATTGAAAAATCATCGACTTACAGGATCTTTAAAAACATAACTTAGCTATTTATGAAAAATCAACATAAACTTTAATTTGCATGATGTTGTTGACAATTTAAATAGTAATTAGTTTGAGAAAAATGAACAATTTTTCTTTTAAAAACAAATGTGTACGTATTGGTTTAATTATGTTTTTTTCCGGCTCAAACAATACCGTGTTTTACGTAACAATTAGCAAGGAACATGCGACAAATAATGAAAAAAAAACTTATTCCTTTTAATATGTTAATATGTTTCAACTGTTTTGTTTGTGTTGTCAGCTTAATAAAGCATTATGCTGAAGCAGGGTCTTTCAAATACATGTTGGTCTATTTGAAAGACCCTGGTTGCAATGATGGTTTTCTTAAACGAAACAATATCCTGACTAATTACAGTACAACATTGCTTATATGAACACTTCTTATCCCGAAACATTTACCATCCGAGCAAAGTCCTCAATCTCAATTACGTAACTTTCTATTTAAAGAAATGAAATGTATACATACCAGCAAATATCTTTGTCAACGTGCTGCATTTTCTTTGATTGTGGAATATTAAATATATATGCATCCTCATCTTCTAGATAAGGATAGTAATAAGTTACGTCAATTTCTTTGCCATTTATAGAGTTAATCTCTTGGTTTACCACTCTCTCTGCATCTGTAAATATGCATGCTTTTGACTATTGTATCAAAATATATATGTACACGGTTTATAACAGACAGTATTTTAAACATATTTTAAGGAACAAATGAAGGTGTAAATAAAACGAAATGAGATTCCTTTGAGTTGATGAAATCAAAACTAAAAACAAGAAGTCAGAGTCACATATTCATGTTTACTGAACCTCTTTGTCAAGAACAACACAAAAAAAAGACAGTTACGTCCCTTTGACTAGTATTTGAAATATTCAGTATAAAACGACTTTCTGCAAATTATATTATCACATATCCAAAGTATTGGAATAGCTAGCAATAGTGATTCAGAAATCCAAAATCTCAAATGGTATATATTTATATACACACTCGTGTAATATATACTCGTCAAACTCTTAAGAACTTGATCTTAAATTGCATGATAATAAGAAGAAATAAAAACAAGAATAACAAAGATAAAAATAAGAAAAGAAAAAAACAATAAAATTATTGACTTTCCAGGTAAAATATTTGAATTGCTTCTGAGGCATCATTTCTGATACATATTTTTTATTGAAGGAGGAGACGAGCGACTACCTGAATAAATCTACACACACGCTCTAATATAGCTAAATAGATTTCAAAGCCCATGGCGTGATCCGATTCACAGGCGTGAGGGGGCAAAATGATTCGAAATCAAAAAAAACTTTAACCACGCCGGTCACGCCAGTTGGGCCGTTATACTACAATTTATTGACTTTTTAACATTTTTCTCTTCCAAATGCTAGAAGGACGTCAACCAGGACATTAAATACTAGTTCGTTGACAATCATTCCTGTCTCTATACTATTTGTTAGTTCTTTATGTTCATCTTTATCAAATTGCATCTAATTAGAAAGACTTTAATTTTACCATGTATTGTCGGAAACGTGGCGATATAGTCCCCCAAGTGTTCTCTGTATACCATAGATGTTATGCTTACATCATTTGAAAGCTTTTTATTGAAATAGTCTTTCACGTCCTCAGGTGTTGTTTCCATAGAAACGCCTTTAATTTGAACTCTATTTGTACGTTCCACAGGCAACATATTCCATTCATAGACGTTAAGTAGATGTTGAAATGTCTTATCTAAGAGTATTCAAATGTAGTAAATGTAAAATTTAAATGCACATTTAATCAGATCACACTTTATATGTAAGAATATATCGAGCTTCAAATCCTATTTGAAGTTAATAGTGGAAATAGAAGATAAAGTTATGCTTGAATTAAACACATTCTCAATGAACTGACCAAGACCATGTCACCAAATTTTATTTGGTAATTTTCATTCCAAACGTAGGTTCAAATTAATGATTTAAGTTCATTTGTGACAATTTGTTTGACAATTGAAAAATTTAGAAACAAATTTCTAGTTGTGAAGAAGTCGAAGTAGAACAGACCATCTGATTGTAAAATAAAGAGTGGAATATAGAAAGGAACATTCTTCTAATGATTGATACAGCAAACGTGAGCGTCTTTAACTGTTATACAAGGTATCGTTTTGAAATTGAAACATAATGCTGGAAAACTAGATACATATTACATATTGATGCCACAATATTCATGAAATTTACATGGCAACTTTTACACAGGTAGTTTATGAAAAAAAAGGGAAAAGATAGAACCATATTTTAAGTTATGAAATTTACATAGCAACTTTTACAAAGGTAGTTTATGATAAAAAGGGAAAAGGTAGAACCAAATTATCAGTTTTTGAAAATGTCTTTTTGTATATTAGAAAGAATGATGCTTCATTCCTATTGAATGACAAATCGATTAAACGCTAATTGACCTTAAATATATGAACTTTTTATCCGGGTTCCGTGACATGTGCAAGTAAATGAACTTTATTTTATAAATAAGAATAAGATAAAAGATTGCTTTGTGATAATTGATATATTTTTTGGTAATTGAAAATATAAACCACATCTTTAATTAGATTCTACTATCAATGTAACCACTTAAAATAAATATATATCTTACGTGGTGAAGCTTTACAGTTAGCAACGGTTTGTTATAAAAGATTTATCCTCGATTTAAACGATATTTTGTTCACAAAACTTTTATTAGCAAGAAAGTACTGTTAGATGCCGTATCTTTAAAATTGCCGTTTTTATTTGAATTTCTTCTAATACAAAAGAGTGTAAACAGTTTTAGGAATTCATATGTAAGAGGTCAGCATGTTGAATATTTGGTAGAAATAAAAGTTTTTAGTAAACTTTCACCTAATAAACATGAAACTATATTCAATGACTCGATTCAGTTTTTATAAATTTACCACTGATCAAGGACGCAATTATAGATTTAATGTATAGTGTGCCACGTAAAACTATCCAATTCCATGTATAATTCAAATTTGCTATTCCTATATATTTTAGCGTTGTTTTTATAAAAGGGCATTTAAAAATAATTTGAGTTCCGAATTTATATTTAAAATATTTAGAATTTTTTTTAAAAAAAGGGAATTTACGCAAAGTATGCTAAATTTTTTAACTAGGGGAAAGTTTATTTAAAAGTATTTCCCAAAATATGCTTTCGTGTCAGTTTCTCACTTGCATATGACGCGGCCAATAGTTCTTACATAATTGACCCTAATTAAAATAACTTTAAATTTATGTTTAAAAAGGGTATAACATAAAGGTTAACGTAAAATTTTTCACGATATTTCAATTATTTGTACCCCAAAAATTTGGCCCCCCCGGCCATGACAAAAACCCAAAAATAAAAGCGTTTGCGATTCCCGCATGGGTCCCGACCACCTGCGCATTTCCCCGCAGTCTGATCAGGGGTCCAGCTGTTCCCTTTTTCATTTTTTCTACTGGTAATAGAACAAAAAAAAGTCAAAATGACTTTTTTTTTTAAAATAAATTTTTTTTGAAGTTAAACTTTTACGAATGCCCTTTTGGTTTAACCATCTTGAAATTTAAAAATTTGGGTTTAAAAAAATATTTTTTTTCAGTCAAAAAAATTTAAAAACAAATATTTCAAAAAAATGAAAAAGATTGAGTAGAAAGCTAGACGATTTTTTAGAAGCTCTCTCCTTGAAATGAAAAAAAAAAACAATAGTTAATAAAATATTTTTATTACAGACGAAACAACCTAATTTGGAAATAAAGCAAATACGTGTATAAAACGACAATAATGATTATATCACTTACTTGATAAAATATAATCTTTGATTTAAATGAGTCACAATATCAGCATAAAAATATGTCATAGTAATTTAAAAAAAAAAAGTTTTTAGTACTCATTAAATAAGCTGCGCAATGACAAAACCAAAACAGTGCGTTTGCAACCATCATGGATCCAAGCCAGTCTGCGCATCCGAGCAGTCTGATCAGGATCCATGCTGTTTGCTATCAGTTTTTCTACTTGTAATAGGGTTTGTAAGCGAACAGCATGGATTCTGATCGGACTGCGCAAACGCACAGGCTGGTCTGGATCCATGTTGATCGCAAACGCTCTATGTTGGTTTTGTCATGTCAAGGCTCATATTTCATTACAACAACAAAAAAGTATACCTTGTGAAACATCAATATCAAAGCATAACAAAAGAGCTGTTCTATTTTCTCCTCTGATTATCTTTGTGGGCCGTGTTCCAAGTGTTGCATCATCGTATAGAATCATATCTTCAAATGATTTGTCAAAATCAAAATACAAACATCTTACGTGGATCAATTGGAGCCTGGTATAAATGGCGATACATAGACCTCTGTAATCTTGCAATGTTACTTTCCCTTCAGCGTTTTGCTTTATCCAAGACATCGCTAGCAGCTAATGGTAACAAAGTTTGGAATTGACAATTATCGTCTTACTGAACAGAAAAATTATTCAAAAAAAAAAATACTTTCCGCTTAAATTAAATAGTATTTATCTTTATTTTGCCACTTATGTAAGTGTGGAAAAACGTTAAATCAATAGATATGTATTCGAAACTCGACAAAAAATGTAGGGGTTTTTTCCAAGCTAATCCCCGGGTATAAACAAACTTTTAACGCTATAGCTTCACGGTGCACTACCGGTCACAATAGATACTGGTGAAGATTACTTTAGTACTTATTTCGGAACCGTTGAAAATATAACATGAATAAGTGCACTGCAAAAAAGGTAAATCATGTGTGTATGGGTTCTCTAGTAATACTATAATGTTGACCATAGCCTTTTTAAAAAGAAGTTGTAGTATATTGGGATTGTTGAATTGAATTGGAACTTATAACTTATAATATATGCAGTAGCATTTTGTTAAATAGAACACACGGAAATATAATAATAATAATAATAATAATGATAATAATAATAATAATAAATTAATAGATTAATAAATTAATATGAACTTACGACCTTTAGCATGCATAACAAGCACCATCACCACTACATTAACAGGCCAGATAATATTTCTGCAACTGTTTTCGAGGTGTTGCGTTTTCATATATGACCTTTTCCTGTCATCCTTGTGAACTTTTGAATCTAAAATTTCACAGTATAGGTTATATTTAAATCAGACAAGTCAACCTGTTGCACTTATTTTGAAGCTCATCTGTTAAAGTCTTTTATACCCTAGGATAAGCTGAGAATATTCAATCTTTTCTATATTCCGGTTTCAGTCTATTTAGAAAAGAAACCAAATATATGTGTTTATTTCTCTTTTATATACTTCGATAAGTTTAAAACTATCGAAGAAAAACAATCATTTTCCACAGTGTTTTAAATCCATCCTATTTATTATACTAAATAAAACACCTAAAACTTACCTCTTCCGTTTTTCAACGTAACAACGGCTTCTCCGTGAACTCTGTCGACCTTAATTTCTTCAAGGTCATCACTTCTTTTAAGTAAATCCGATTTCAGTATGGTTTCGATTTCTTTTATGGAAATGTTTTTTCTGATTCCTGTTAATAGTATCTGTCTGTTTTCTTCCGTTGTTGGGGTTGATCGATCCATGTAAGAATTTGCTACGTCCACTATCCGCACTGATTTGAGGGATGATGTGGACTTTGCTCTGTTAGGCGGATCTAACATCGGAATCTGTGGTGGTGGATAAGTCGATTGCTTTGGATTCGTATCCAATGTGTCCTCATCAATGGTCTCATATTCATGACCTTAATATAGAAATTCAAAAAAAAATCTTTCACTATTAGTAGCTTTTTTTCTTGCATGTCAGACTGGCATGGGGGTGCCAGATGGGTCGCGTGCTGTACAATGGCTCGCTAGGATGACTCTATTTTACCGTTATGAATGAAGTTGTAATTTCATACGCTGTTGAAAGAAAGTAGTTACGGTTGTAATGATATAAATTTCCATTGAAAATAAAGATAAAGAATTTAAAATATAATGGAATATGGTAGAATATGCAAGAAAAAATATCTGACATATGTTTGCGGCTCGGATCGGAATATCCGTCCCTCGGTAACCCGCCCATAGGCGGTAACTCGGCAAGCCTTGTAACCGCCCAATGGGTGGGTAACCTCGGGACGAATATTCCAATCCTAACCGCAACATATGACAGATATTATTAATCTTAAATAAGTTCAATTGTCTTGCAAATTGATTTATCTTTTTAAAAGCTGTTTTCCTTACAAAGTAATAACATACTGACCTTATATATATGCATGTGAATTCACAGAATATGTTAAATATTAAGTTGACTGAAAAATGTAGATAAGTTATTGCACTAGACTTTTGTGATTTGCAAATGTTGATTTGTAAATGAGCCATAACATAAAGTTTATTTATGACTTGCCTTTAGAGTTCTGCTCGGATTCCATCGATGATTTGTCTGACATTAACTTCATTGCACCATCCATTGGGGGATAGTCTGGGCTTTTATCGGACTGACACTTAGAATTTTCTAGACAATCTTCAGTTTTATTGTCAGTATCCTTGTGGTTAGTGGGTAGCTCGCTTGTCACGAGAAGCTCATCGGTTTTCGTCACCGGTGATTTAAAATCATCGTCCGTTGCGTGTGTGTTTGATTTACCAAAACTATCATCATGTACTGTTTTCTGAGATGTTGGCCGATCATCGGAAGATTTCGACGGCTCCAAATTTACATGAAGAGTTGATGAAACAGGTTCGGTAGATACAGTAGTAATAGAAATGGTTGGGATTGGTTGTGATCGTGGAATATCATAAATGTTTTTAGTCGGCTCCAAATTTACATAAAGCGTTGAGAAACGGTTTGGTGACTCAGTGTAATAGAAAGGGTTGGGGAAATTGGGTGGACGGGGAAAAATTAAAAATGCTTTTTAAAATTTTTTTTATTTTCGGAGACCAAATTTTAAAAAACAAAAAAGCAAAATATCTGTTTTTGTAACAAATACAACTGTAACAAAAATTACAAATTGCATATTATTAGCTAAATATTGCTTCTTCATTTCTAGTAAATAACCTTCATTTCTAGTAAATAACGTTGCATATTATTAGCAAAATATTGCCTCTTGATTTCTAGTAAATAACGTTGAAAGATATTTGATATTGTTCAAACAAGATAAATATTTATTGAAGTTTTTGGTTTGCCTACGAACACAATTATCACAGGTATGAAATTAAAGCGGTTCAAGTACAAAAAATACCCTACTGCCTACCGTTATAGATAACGTATCTAATGCTTAAAAAGATTTTTTGAGCATGTAGAAGCAAGCGAATGACTTAATTAGTAGACTTAATTGAAAAACCATCTAGTCGCAGAAAATTTATTCTATCTCTACTATTACATACCTCATGTTGAGATATAATTGATATGACAGACAAATGGTGTATATGTTCGTAAAATATCTAGTGTTGTTCTGATATGTTATCCTTTGTTGAGCTGATAACAAATAAGCTTGAAAAGGTCAATAGCTGTGTTAGAGGAACTAATTAACATCCCTGTAGGGTAATAAAAACCATCCTTGGCTTCTGACTAATTGTAGGAATTTTGTTCACCCGTACGTTCGATGGGGGGCGGGGGAAGAACGAGTGGGCAGTGGAAGATGTTCTTTAAAATGGAGGGATTTGTCCGTTTTCTCTCGATTGGAGAGTATGTTAGGAAAGACTTATCTTATAGTATTATGTAACACCTGACAAACCCTTATCAATATATCAAATGCGTGCGGCAACACTGACTGCAAATCTAGAAAGAACGAGTTCGATCCTGAACTTTGCAAGCTATAATTATCAATTGACAGTGTTCCCCGTCACTTTCCAATGACGGAGAAAATAAAACATCCGTTTACACACACACACACACACAAGTGTCTGGCACGGTATATAATAACGTTTAATAATATCAACAGTGAATGATGAAGAGATATTTAATAAAACGAGATTAATTTTATGTTATGTGGAAGCGGCAATTCAAGTCATAGTGTTTCCAGTCGTCTTCACAAATTCCTAAATAACCTACTTTTGTATAAATGGCAATAATTTTCCATATAGTTTTAAAAAGACCACCTATATGATGTAATTTAAAAAAACCAACAACATTTGAACTAACAAATGCTAGTCTATCCTGACAAAGTAAATCTACTAAAGTGGCGACATGGCCGAATGGTTAACGCGTCGGACAAGTAATCTTATGATCGCTAGCCGCATGGGTTCAAACCCCGTCAGGGGCAAGTCGTTGTTTCCTTGAGCAAGAAAGTTTACACTCATTGCTCAGTACTGGTTGGTTCCAGGAACGGATTTGAAAAATAGACTATAAGCTTATAGCTTCCTACACAATCGAACTAATAATAAATTTTGTTTGTATATAAACAAATCTACTCACTGTTCTCACCGGTCATTTATCCAAATCAAGAATTAGATTATGCTCTTTAAACAGTAGCTTAGTATGAACTATGACAAGATTTTTACCGGACTAAGACAATCATTGATTGAATTTTCTTATGTTTTATAATTAACCTAAAACCTTCCTGTTAAATAACAGTAATTGTTATTTCCTGTAAAATAGATAACCGCATGATGATTATCTCATTTTATACTTATGAAATTGAAACTGACTTATATATTTTTAAACTTCACATATTTAAACTTCCTCTTTTTTCTTAACATTTAGCTTTTAATAATGTGAAAATATACCCGTTAAACGTCACATATTTTAATTTAAGCTGGACAAATCTTCATTGTGATTTTATCTAATAACATTTCATACAGCACCCTTCATTTTTAAAGACATTTTCAAACGTATTTGACTTTAACATGCATAAATTATATTGTTACAGGGTTAGATATTACAGGAACAGAAACAAACTCTTGGCGTAGGTTCGATCTATTAATCCAAATAAAAAATGATCTAAAAATATAATAAATTAACACTGAATATCTTTCTTACACAGAACCATATATAATATAAAAGAATAAAACAATTTGAAAAGTACAACACGGAACGAGCGACCAGTGTTCAAGATTTGGTCGTGATTGAGCTCGGCGAAGTACACCAGTGATAAAATAAAAACTAAACGCAACCGAATAAAAACGCGCGTGCACGATGTTTTTAAAGATCCTGTATGTTTTGTGATTGATATTATTACTGTGTGTATACCACACTTACAAGAAATTATATATATGTATATAATTTTGCAAATAAAACAATTTTCAAACATCGAAGAATATGTAAAATATGTACTGCAAATATTTGTGCACATTATATGTAATCAATAAATTACATGCATTTATTTCTTATTGGAAAATTTGACTTAGAATTTATAGAAAATAAATTTCTAATTACCTCCCTTTATTTACATGAAATGTTAACTTCGGTAATATCTTTAAAGATAATGCTTATTGGAACTTACAATATTGATATATCTTATTTTGAGCATCATATTTGTGAGGAAAAAAAACATAAAAAAAATTGTGTCACAATCTTTAAACAAAACTAAGGAAAGCCACAGCTGCCATTAACATATAATTTCAATCTGTGACATTCATGTTCAAACGAACTTGACAATAAAAGACATAAATTATATCTCGATACAGGTCTTAATGGTTTGAACAATATAAAGACAAGGTTTAAAGCCACACATTAAAAATGGTTGTTCAAATCGTTTGATTTAAAATGTAAAATTGTTTACATAAATCTTTGATACTCGTAAAACACAACAACGATTTAATATGTAGCCATATTTATATGAATATTTATACTGTATATGTCTATATTTTGTACTATGCACACGACGAAATTCTTCTGTTCTGGTTGAAACATAAATTGTGTGGGTGGGAAGGGGGCAGATATACACTGATAACAAATTTGTTAATAGTAATAGATAATCTTCCTAATTAAGATAATTGTTTCGCTTCATAAATAAAATCTAATCAAGACTGGAAAAACAATTACTTAATTTTGGATTGCTTGACCTCGTTCTGAATATCAATGAGGATGTCGTTTGAAAAAACAATGTCAAGGAAAATTTATTAACAATGAACATGTCATAAGGAAGCGAAACTACAAAATTTATTATTGTTTAAATAAAGTACGTATAAAGGTTTGCCTTTTTCTTGTTAGTGACCCTCAATTTCCTCAATTGTTTCTATTCTTTACTGTTATTTCCAAGATCTAACCGTTCAAAAGTTTTAACCACTAATCTCTTTGCATCTAGTACTTGGTTACTTATAATTTATGATAACATCATGGATTGATGAAGATCTAGATTAAACAAGTTTGGTCGATTGTGTGGTTGGCTTGAACAATAGAAGATATCTTAGTACTAATGTAGGATGGTCTAGTATCTCAATATGACTTGCTGGCTAAATTACTATCAATTTGAAAACTGACTAATACCATAATAACAATTGAACTTTGAAATTTTATTCTTCTAAGGCCAAGCAAATGGACGTATTTTGGTTTAGAAGCCGGCTAAATTCTGCTTTTATTTTGTATCGAGCTATGTTTTGAAAAAATTAAGGCGAATCTTTTGTATAGAATATGTATAATAAAATGTTAAGGGTAAGATTAAAATCCAGTATAGGTTGAATTATTAGAGCGTTGACCAATGACAATTGCCATGTGGTTCGAATCTGGTAGAAACAGTTTCCTGCGGGGAGACATTTTTACAATTTTAAGGATGACGGACCTCTATTAGAATTTTTAGCAGTCAGGTTTTCGTTTTTAATATCACTTAAATCAAATTATGTTTTGCCAAAGAATATATTTTTTCCTTTTACATATTAATTTGAGAAAATATACTCAGATAAAAAATGTCAGTTAATTTCGATTCATGTCCGTAAAAGTTTGTCAAAAGGTGACCTATAGATTATGAATTCAATAATTCACTGAATGATACTTAATATGTACATTAATCACTTTTGAGGTATTAATTATTTTTGTGCATGGGAGGCCAATTAGACCATATTTATGAATCATGGAGAAAAAATTGTTGCTGCTACTACATTTTCGTAATTTTAATTATGATTCCAATCAAATAAATCATTTTTAAATGCCTTGGACGAAATTTATATTTTTTTGTTGTTAATTTATGGTACATACTTTTTTAAACATGTCACTTAAACCATTAAGGCCTATTGGCCATCATGGTTATATTTATATATTTATATTTCGTACGCATTTGGACAAGAACCGTGCATTATTCTACAACCGTCCATTATTCTACAACAATGCACTCAGAATTGATATTTATTTCCTGATTCGAGCATCTATTGGTGAATTAAATAGCACAAACCTAAAAAGTTCCATTTGAAATTGCTAGCAATACCCATGACAGTAATTCCACCACAAAACAAAAATTATCACATATGCCATCAAAACGTCACTATTGACGTCGTACGTGCATTTAACACTTAGCATATTAGATATCTTAGATGCACATAAATTCATTTTTTTACAACAAAGTTGTAAGGGAGGTATACTGGAATCAGCTTGTCCGTCCGGCTGTCTGGTCGTCGGGCGTCCGTCATTTTTTTCTTGTCCGCCCTATAACTTAAGATTCTTTTGACCCACAGTCTTCATATTTGGCATGAAGGTTAGTCATGATGAGTAGATGAACCCTTATGATTTTGAGGTCACTAGGTCAAAGGTCAAGGTCACATAGGCCTTGACTTCAAAATCTTGTCCGTCCAATAACTTAAAATTCATGACCGACAGTATTCACATTTGGCATGGAGGTTAATAATGATTAGTAGATGACCCATATTGATTTTGAGGTCACTAGGCCAAAGGTCAAGGTCACAGGGGCCTTGACTGAAGAAAGCTTGTCCGCCCAATAACTGAAAATCCTTTGACCCACAGTCTTCATATTTGGCATGGAGGTTAGTCATGATTAGTAGATTACCCATAATGATTTCAAGGTCAACAGGTCAAAGGTCAAGGTCACAGGGGTCTTGACTAATTAAAGCTTGTCCGCCCAATAATTTAAGAATCCTTTGACCCAAAGTCTTCATATTTGGCATGAAGGTTAGTCATGATTATTAGATGACCCCTATTGATTTTTTTGTCACTGTGTCAAAGGTCAATGTCACAGGGGCTTTTATTACACTAAGCTTGTCTGTTCAAATGCTTAAGACTGCCTGACCACAGTGTAAAGAGTTTAACATTTTCACATGTGAAGCATATAATTATGTTCTCATATATTCATCATAAAACACCTCCAGGTAAAGCTGCATGAATGGAAGGGTATTGATGTCATTTAGTTGCAGTTTCAGTTTTGAGGTCAGTAGGTCAAAGGTAAAGGTCACTTTGATCTTTGCCACTAAAACATGTAGAATACATAACTTAGCAATGCACTGGCTTACTTCCCTCAGATTTGGCTGGGAGGTTGCCCTTGAGCTCTAAATGAGTACTGTTGATTCTGACAAAGTGGTATTTTTATTTCACGCGTTTCGTAGTATAGCGTGATACATTTGTCTGAACGCGTAACGTATTACAAAGGGTGATAAATTTGATATTGGTCAGTGTGTATTTTGCACGGGTTTTCAGTGATGCATACATGTACTTGTGTGTATATATAATAGTTGTGTAATTAGATACTGGTCATTCTACCAGACAACTCCGAACAAGTCAAATCTTCACACGTGGCAGTCGAAAAAAATGGAGGAAGAAAATGAAATGCTTTCTAGAATAGAAGCGTTAATAAACAGCAAGTTTGAGACTTTTGAGCAGCGTATGAGTGACACACAGAAGGAATTATCTCAGTCGCAGTTATCAGTTATTCAAGAAAATCTTATGCATGACAATTACACGTTCAAGAAAAAAGGACATGAACAACAGTACAGAGTTAACAGTCAAGTTATTGACAAGCAGCGTCATGCTGAGGCTTATGTACATGAGGCTAATAGAAGTACACACTGCGAGGCTGCAGATAACGCCATAAGCAAGATTTCCGAAGGTATTAATATTCTTCAGCATCGTCAGAAATGTATAAAGCTGGCAGACTCGTCTGAACACGGCTGGAAAGTTGTTAATGGGTATGAATCGCATCCGCTCGCAGACAATTCTGACGATGAGAAAAAGATTTATAAAGCCCAGATGCAAGCAGAAGAACGAAAGGTTTAACGGGAGCGACGCACGAGAAGCAGAAGGTATGCTCCGTATTCGTTATCCGGTAACCCCTCTCCCGGTACTATACCACCAACAGGGACGAGATCACAGGCACAGATGGTCAATAGGAAACATGGCTGTTGCTTCCGGTGCGGTAAACCAGGCCATTGGAGTGTCGATTGTCGTGTGGCACAGACTGAGTCTCAAGTGGACAAAAATATACAGATAAGTCATTTTGATAGTGTATTTTCTTGTAGTAAATTGAACTCCGGGGTGAGTGAAAATGAAATTTTGTTAGACACAAAATTGTCAAACAAAACTGAAATGTTGAGTTAATCAGTGCCGATGACGAGCGATAATAAAGATTTTAGTATCTCCGGTAGGTAGATTGAGGTCGTCTTATAAGCATTGGCAAGCAGCAGGCGCTGGTGAATATATATTAGATATAGTTCGTAATGGTTATAAATTACCTTTTAAAAAGATCCCTAGTTCTGTAGAATTAAACAATAATAAATCTGCTTGAGATAATACAGCGTTTGTTTCAAAGGAAATTCAAAATTTATTGCTAAAAGGTTGTATCAGAGAGGTACGTGTGCCTCCGATAGTGGTATATTCTCTTACTGTAGGTTGCAATCGTCAGGGCAAGAAAGGACTTGCTTTGACATTTAAATTTAGATCTGTTTAAGTATAAAGTCTGTTATGAAAATCATTCAATTGCCAAAGACATTTTTTCTAAGGGAGACTATTTATTTAGTTTCGATATTAAAGGGGCTTATCACCATATAATGATTTTCCCCGAGCACATGACGTATCTCGGCTTTGCTTGGTCGGAAAACGGTTTAAAACGTTATTACGTTTATCAAGTTCGGTGTTTCTACCGCTGGTTTTATTTTTACAAAAGTCTTAAGAACGTGTGTTACAAAATGGAGAGAAATGGGGTTCAAAATAGTTTTGTTTTTAGATGATGTTTTGGGCGGAGAAAGCTCTTACGAATCCGCTTTAAGTACCGCATCTTTCATAAGACAAGACCTGCTTGATTTTGGGTTTTTACTAGCAGACGATAAGTGTCATTGGCTGCCTTGTTTGTACGCAGTTTGGTTAGGTTATGAATGGTATATGTCTGAGGGTATTATAAAAGTTACTCAAGACAGAATCTGTAGAACAGAAAATTTGCTTGACGAACTCATATTACGCTCCCGTACAAATCACTTCTGAGGCGTTGCGAGAAATTATATTTTGGCGAGAAAATTTGAGACCTTTGAATAAAATTGATTTAGATAAAAAATTTGATAATCAGGCTTACGTCACTGTTGACGCCAGTGTAGCTGGATGTTTAGAGTATGCCAACGTCTTTGTTGACGCCAGTGAACTAGGATTTGGTGGTTTCATTGAAGAAACGCAGGGTAGTGAGGTAACCGGAAGTTGGTTGAGTTCTGAAGTTCTTTGAGCTCCACGTGGAGAGAATTAGAATCTGTTTATCGTGTGATGCAAAGTCATGTGACTGATTTACATAATAAAGCAGTAGTTATACATACAGATAACAAAAATGCTAGCTCAATTTTGAAAATTGGAAGTAAGCAGCCATACTTGCATGATATCGCATTAAAGGTGAATGATTTATGTTCAGATAATAATATATCTCTTTTTTCCTAGATGGTTACCAAGGGGAGATAATACTGAAGTAGATTATCTTAGCAGATGTTCCGACTGTGATGACTGGTCAATTTTAGAATCTATTTTTCAGGCTTTAAATGATAAATGGGGACAACATACAGTGGATCGTTTTGCTTGTCATTATAATGCAAAATGCAGAGTTTTTAATTCTAGGTACTGGTGTCCTGGCACGTCAGGTGTTGATGCGTTTAAATATAATTGGTTTGGCGAGAATAACTGGATTTTACCTCCGCCCAGATTGATCTTGAAGTGTATTCGTAAGATAAAGGTTGAAAAATGTTGTTGTACAGTTGTTGTTCCATGTTGGAAATCGGCACCATATTGGCCAGAATTATTTCCAGGTGGAAATTGTGCCTTGTTTGTTAAAGATTTTGTTTGTTTTCAGCCAGGCATTTTAACCAAGAGAGGAAAATGAAGAAATGGTATTTTTGATGGCAGACCGTTGTCATTTGGCTTTGTTGCTGTGCGAATTGAATAATTTGTGTAACATTGTTGTTTATTTTTCTTCAGGTTTGAGTTTGGAAAAATGCATTGCCAATGAAGTCGAGAAAACAGGATTAACAGAAAATTCATTTGGAGATCTTACGCACAAAATGGCTGGCTTTTTGGTGAACTCTAAAAGTGATAATACAGTTAAGAAGTATTTTCATTATTTTAAAAAATGGGAACAATTTGCAGTTTCGAAAGAAGGTCAGTCTTTGCCCGCTTCGCCAATAATAGTGTGTTTATATCTGACAGAACTTATAGATAAGAACTTTTCAGTTAATGTTATTTCATCTACGATTTACAGCATTAAATGGGCGCATTCTTTACGAAACCTACAGACAATTTATTCATTAAAAATTTGTTAGAATCAGCGAAGCGTATGTTGCACAAAACTGTAAATAAAAAGGAGCCCGTTACATCTCAAATGTTGATAGATCTTTGTGACAAACATTTAAATGAAACAGACGTTTTGATTGTAAGAGATTTATGTATGACTCTTATGTTTTTTTTTATAGCTTTTTTAAGGTATGATGAAATCCGGAATGATATAAAAATTTTATGAAAATCATTTCAGTTTATCCATCCTTATAAGTAAAACTGACCAATATCATTTCGGGAATGAAGTTGTTGTTTCTAAAGGTAAAACATCCGCTTGCCCTTTTGAAATGCTTCGGCGTTATTTAAATGTTTCCGGGCAATCTATTTCTACAGATTATTTTTTGTTTAGGCCGTGTTTTAGATCTCGTGGTAAAAGTTAAGATGCTTTCGCAAACGAACTGCCACATTCTTCGCACTGATGCAGTTTTGCTTCGCCATGGTTGTTTGCTCTGAAACAACAGAAACACATTAGAATTTAAAATTACTATCAGTTTATTGATGTAAATGTAGCTTCCATGTTGTGTTTAACGGTGTTGGAGCTATTATAACCTGGTTTCATAATATTTGTCCTCCTTAGGAATTATGTTCTTTATTGTACCTATTTAGGAATATATATAAAGCGTTCATTTCTCAACACAAAGGGTACACTGTATGTCGCTGTTATAGCAAATAATGGGGCAATATATTGCTCCAGGGTTATCTAATTTCTTTTTTTTCAATAGCTTTTCTTTATCTACATGCAACCATTTCTTTGTGTTCTTTCCATCTTAGACACTCAAGCCGTATGTAGAAATATCAGACAGCTATGTACTTCATGTATTATATGCAATTTACAAACCTATGTCTTTGCAATTTGCCGAAACTTAGGAACCATGAATATACAATACATGTATATATTCCATAGATATACATTAACATGCTTCTCATTTAAAGGAACACATTTTTATGGGTCTGAATTACAAAAAAAAAAACAATAACTGACTTTATTTCCAAAATAATTGTAAAAATGGTATAACACTTTATGTATGTAATTGAAACATATATTTTGCTGGTGAAATAAATTCTATATAATGTACATAGAGGATATTTGTTTGTTTTGCATGTAAGATTGAAATATAATTTCACTGAGTGAACACAAGATGCAATATTTTCACGAGTGGCGTAGCCACGAGTGAAAATATAATAGCTGGTGTTCACGAATGAAATATATTTCAATCTTATATGTAAAACAAATAAATTTTCTTTTTATTTTATGCTTTTTAAGTGATTTTAAGTATTTTTTACTGATTTTGCCGCGTAACGTCGCGCATTCTCCTTTGTGACGTCATTATATCATGACGTCACATCATTAGTTTTGAAATCTAGTTCCGTTTAATTTCTCTAATTTTGTTAAATTTCTAACATGATGTATGATGACATTGACTTTCTTTTCCTAAAGAAGCAAAATTTACGTATGACGGCATTTACGTCTGCCTGTTATTCCATTTATTTATGATTTTCTGTTCATCCGCATTTAGATATAGTCCGGCTACAGTGAAAATTATATTTTATAAACTTCACTAGTGGTTTATCAGAATATAATCATCTGATATATTACAATAAAACACTGGAGAGCATGAAATAAATGTTTGTATTTTATTTTTGTATTGTAAATACTTTTAAGCTGATGTACACGTGTGTTATCAAAGCAGAATACTATTAGATGAGAATCTATAGCAAGCAAACTGAATTCATTTAATTCAATACTTCTTGCTATTTTTCACTTTCAAATATTATATTTGTATGATTTCAAAGACAGGAAGCGAGAAACAAGCATAATTCAATGAAAAAAAAATTACAAAATAGGACAGGCAATATAATTGTACGGCGATTGTACTCATTAAATTTGGTTCGACCATTGTACTCGTTTTTTGAAAGATGAACAAATTCGTTATGCAACTTTACAAAGGATGGAAATTGTTCATGACGGGCAAACTTGCAATTGTGCACCAAATGTCATTGCTTATTTTACTTAAAATGCGTTTCTTTTACTGAAAACAACACATTTTAGTACCTGTTCGGCCATTGTACTCATCACCTAAAACAACTTTTTCGACTTTCAGGCCTAAACAGAGAGAGCTACAAAGTAACCAATAACAGAACAGTACGTGGTTCTTATACAGGGGTTCCGTGCGGCCTAGGTTTACATATAAATTCAACGTTAACTGTATGCTTATCTCATTTTTAATGCTTTTACCGAGCGTTTAAGCCGCCCTTTTATGTGCCCATTGTACGATTTTAGTCACGTGATCATCCGCAGTGTTAAATTTCTTTAAAAAAACGTGATTTTGTTGAAGTGCTTTTATAATTTCTAGAATATTGCTTGTCTCATAGTATTAATAACATACATTTATTTACATATTGTGAGCGTCTTATATTGTCCAACAATATTGACTTGACACTTCATTAACTTTCGTAAAGGTCATTTGAATAAACAC